TAGACAACTAGACCCAGCCTTACATTGCTCTACACTTGCATGCTTTCTGATTATAATAAATGGTTAAATGTAGCTATAGGTAATATTATCCCTGGATTTTGTGAGACATTAGAGATCTAACAAGTCCTCATCAGGGATTGACAGTACAGACCTTTTTATGTAGACCCAACTCTGGGTTGGTGGGTAATAAAGGCTGCCTGGGTAGTTGATACAGAAGGATGGTGTCTTTTGTCCTTGTGAACTAGCCCCCAGGGGCCAGAGAGGGGTACTTGAGAGGGAAAGAGAGAGACCAGCTGGTCTGAAGATCAGGACGTTGTGCAAACTCCCAAGCCTACTGCTGCTCCCAGATGGCCTGGCATTGGTTGGCCAGGCCAGAGATGTTTTGAGTCAGCTCAGGATAGATAAGGATGAAGTCTGATCTAACTCTAGGTGGTTACCATCTCAGAGTGTTTTTGCCATGAAAGTGGCTATGCCGGTAAGGGATGGAAATGTGCTAACTGAATTTATGCCGACTCTTGCTGTGCTAGGTAGGTTTATTGTGCCAACTGAAAATAGGTACATGTTGGATTAATAAGGGCACCATTTGTTTGAAGGGCAAAGAAATACAAGGCTCCAGAAAGCCCGGCTTGAGGTTCCTTCCAGACCTGCTCGGCCACACTGTTGGTGTACAGATTGCTTGAACGTGAGGCTGGCAGATCTTGTTGTCTTGCATTGCTTGAGTTCAATATCCCTGCTTCGCTAAGCTCCAGGCCTGCTTCGCTAAGCTCCAGAGTTGTTGACTGTTGGTGACCCGCCGGCAGTTTGCTGTCTGTGGGCTGATTGCCTGCATTGCTCAAAGGCAGACTCGGTTGTCTGCTTCCTTGACCTTGGACCCAGCAGCCCTCATGAATCAAAGGACTTCTTGTATATTAACTGTTCCACAGAAGTGAGTTGAACTGATCCCTCTGTAATCCTGTGTGGATTATCAGTTGTAATATTCCTTTGTGATATATATATATATAATGTGTCCCGGTATTGTTTCTCTAGAGAACCATGTCTAACACACTTGCCATGAATTTAGTGGTACAGATTGGATGTGCACACTTGCCCCACTTATAGGGCAGTTGGTAGTGTGTTCCTGCTATCCCCCATCCTCTCCCCTTCTTATTATTTGTCTTTTAGGTAGTAGTGACACTCTCAGTGTCTCCCTATATGACTGCGACTACTAGCATCAAAATGTCTATTAGCAGTACTTCCATCGTCTACGTTTTACCATTCCATGGACTAGCAGGGAGCCTTCACTGAATTTAATGATTGAAATAATTCAGCTAGTTAAAGTTTGTGGAATCAATGAGACAGTGATCAAACCCAAAATATGAATCAATTGCTCATGCATTTTGAAGATGCAAAGCAAATCGAGGCATAAATTTGTAACTTTATTAAGATTAAAGAGAATAAGGAAAACTAAGAATCGATTGCTCTTTATTCTACCCACACCACACCCCTGATTTCATGATTTCAATTGTTTTACTATTTTTTACTCACATTTGCATGCCAAACCCTGTGCCAATGGCATGCCACCTTATTGTAGAACCCAAGCCCAAAACAAAAAGAAAAAAACATATTTTCAATCTATTTTTTAAATAACAGAATGTTTCATCTTAAACCTAAAGAACAATAAATAAATGTGTGCTTCATGATATTTTTTCCCTTGGTTCATTATATTTATAAGCTGAGATTCTTTACAAAACGCATCTTCAATTAAGATAAATGTTTGAAAATACACCCACATATACTTACTTGGATGAGATATTGTTAAACAGATATGGACTCATAGATATATGTGTGTTCAGTATAGGAGAAGAAGGTGAAACATCTGTGGAACCATGGCATTGAAAATCATGGAATTTTTCACCAACATTTTGGAGCATGAGTGTATGTGTGTGTGTGTGTGTGTGTGTGTGTGTGTGTGAGAGTGGGAGAGGTGAACTAGTGCTGTGTGGATACACAGACCTGCGTGTGCGGTAAGCTATTTTTGTGTGTGTGTGTGTGTGTGTGTGTGTGTGAGCGAGCATGAATATGTTCATGGGAAAATTCTATTCTCTGTTTATACAATTATCCTAAGACCTCTTTGAAGACACAGACACACAGTTTCAATGGCAGGAAAGCAGACAACTAAACACAAGGTTGGCAGTTCAACCAGCTCTTCTGCAGAGTAAAGTTGAGACTATCAGCTCTTGTAAAGGAAAACTGAAAATCCTGAATAAGGCCATTGTTACTCGGAGTCCACTTGATGGCAGTGGGTGTTGATTTTGAATGTGTACTTAAGTGAATACATACATACATACATACATATATGCTGTTGACTATGTTGACTATGTACATGGATCAATTGTGTGAATCATAACAAACTAGGAAAAACATTAAGAAGAATAGGAATTCCAGAACGCTTCATTGTGCTCATGCAAAACCTATAATAAATTAGAAACAACTGTTCAAAGAGAATAAGGGAAAAAATCAGGAAAAGTGTGTATCAGGATGGCATCCTTTAATCATATGATTCGTTCTGCATGCTGTGCAAATAATGCAAGAAGCTGGACCATATGAGAAATAGCTTGGTGTCAGGACTAGAGGAAGGCTTATTATTAAGAATGTTTGATATGCAGACGGCACAATGCTGCTTGTTGAAAACAAGCAGGACTTGAAGCACTTGCTGATGAAAAAAATAGCCTGCAGCCTTCAATATGCATTACAAGGCAATGTAAAAAAACCCGAAATCCTCCCAACTGGAGCGATATATGAGATCATGATAAAGGATAAAACACTGAAATTGTCAAGGATTTACTCTTGCTTGGATCCAAAATCAGTGTTTGTGGGAGCAGCATTCAAGAAACCAAAGTATGTGTTGCATTGGGCAAACCTGCTGCAAAAGGCTTCTTTACAGTATGAAAGAGCAAATATTTCCCTTTGCAGATAAAAGTGTGCCTGGCCCTACCATGGTATTTTCTGCCACCTCATAGGCATGTGAGAGTTGGATAATGAAAAAGGAAGCTCAAAGAAGAATTGATGCATTTGAATGATGGTGCTAGGGGGAGAGTATTGAAGGTCCAACGGACTCCACAAATCACACACAAATCTATCTTGGAAAAAGTACTAGCAGAATGCTCTTTAGATTCAAGGACAGCAGAC